GATCTAGATGTTTGTCATCATCACAACTTTCTTTACAATTTACATTACCTGTTACCACCTCTACAAGCAGTTCTCACCCGAGAAGCTTATTATTGCCACTCTTGCAAATAAGCGGCATTTCTCGCCCGAGAAGCTTATCCTATCTTCGTTATGACTTACAGCAAATGGCCATCTCCAGCGAGTAGTTTGGTTTCCATTTCCCGTATCATTTTGAAGAAAGGGGAGGTTTGAGCGGAATCATATTCAAGAGAGTGTGAATCTTGAAGTATGAGGAAGTTCAGTTTACCCTTTAGTAAAAGAAGGAGCAGAATCATATTCAGGAGAGTGTGAATCTTGAAGTATGAGGAAGTTCAGTTTACCCTTTAGTAAAAGAAGGAGCAGAATCATATTCAGGAGAGTGTGAATCTTGAAGTATGAGGAAGTTCAGTTTACCCTTTAGTAAAAGAAGGAGCAGAATCATATTCAGGAGAGTGTGAATCTTGAAGTATGAGGAAGTTCAGTTTACCCTTTAGTAAAAGAAGAATCTAAATCATATGTCCAAGGCGTCGACCTTAGATATGAGGAGGTTTATTAATTAGATAAGCAACAACCTCTTTATTTGAGAGCTTATCCAGTTTGGCATATAAGTCCCTTCCAACGATAAGTGGCTATTCTCTCTCGAGAGGCTTATCAGAGCATTTCCCATTAAAGTCCATTTATTTTGGCATACAGTCGGTTTTACCCTGTATATTTTCTACGGGTTCCTAAATTCCGTCTGATCCTGTCACGAGGGAGAGTTTCTAGAAGCTCGGATGTTATTCTATACTCCAGCATCTTGTTAATCGATCCTACAGTCGTGCAGATCCAGTTTTATTTTTTACTCTAGAATATCAGCCGGTCACGCCTGAACCTGTTGAATAATTACTCCTAGATTTTCCCCAGTGGAGGCCGTCTCATCGGTGCCATCTCCATTGAGGATCTCGCTCTTACCTTTCCTTTCTAAAGGTGAAAATTGGTCATGCTAGTACCAGTTGACCATCACTTTAGAATTCCCCAGTGTCATGCTGTCACCCAGTGCGTCGTATTCCCAGTGTGGTTCGTTCGTCGCGTCTGTCCCTTATGTCGTCGTGTCGTCTGCATCTCTGCATTTACCATTCCATCATACGCACCATACTAAATTCATGGCATTGTCAACATTATAGTTTATTTTCGTTTTGTCCATAGTATTGCATATCACTGCATCTAAGGGCAAAATTTTCGGTTATCTATATTTAAATCCCTCCACCATGATTTCTCGAGCCTTTGTCGCTCAAATCATTCGGTGAAGCTATTTAAATAGGGTCAACTGTAATACCCCAAATTTTGCCCTAAGATTAGTCGTTTCATCTTGCATCCCATTTCATTTTGTATTGCGTTTAAACTAACCACTAACGGGTTGTGCAGTTGTTTGATTGTTGCAAGAAAATATCATGTGGCGCGCTCTTTTAGTTTACAGGGTTTCTAGTGCCACTTTATTTTGAATGAATAAAATAGTACAATTGGCTGTTATTTGTTTTTTTGTTTTTTTTCTTTCGTAATCCATTTCCAGGATAAGGAAGAGTAAGAGGAGAAAAGATAATTAAAGGCAACTCTAATGGGTCAAATGAGCAGAAAGAAAGGAAATTAAAGTCAATCCTAATGGGTCAAATAAGCAAAAACAAAGGATGTATCGCCACCCAAGTGGTTAAATGAGCAGAAACAAAGGATGTATCGCCACCCCAGTGGTTAAATGTCTTCCCCTTTCATTATCCTTCCCTTTTTTTTTATTATTTATTATTATTTCTCCTTTCTTTAGTTTTTTTGTCCTATTTATTTTTATTCTTTTTTTTTTTGTAAAATTATTATCTTATTTTCTTTTTTAAAGTAATTGAGTTTGAGCTGCTAAAATTTTCATTAAAAAAAAACTCTTATTAAAATCAAAACTAAAACATTTTTTTAATGTTTAAACTAAAACCTTTATTTAAATTAACATTAAACTAAAACCTTTTTTTAAAATTAACATTAAACTAAGAACTTTTTTATAAATTAACATTAAACTAAAGAAATTTTTGTTAAAATTAAAACTAAAATATTTTTTAAAATTTTAAACTAAAAACTTTTTTTTAATATTAACATTGAAGCCTTTTTAAAAATTAAAAATTAAAAACAAAAAACTTTTTTATCAACATTAAAATTATTTTCTTCAAAATTTAAACTAAAATCCCTTTTTAAAACTAATAAAACTATAATTAAAATTCTAAATTGCATTTTGTCTTTCTTTCAATATTAACTGTTTCATTATTTGTCATATTTCTGTCTAACTTTTCACTAATGTTCTCTGTTTTTCTCCTCAGATTATACTCAAATTTCGATTAATATTTATTTAATTTATGTTGTTCCATGGATGTAATTTACGCGAGGCCATGGTCGCGATTTATTTTATTTTGCATTTTTTTTGGACTTGTAATTTACGCAAGTGATCGTCGCGATGCTTTATTTACTTTCCGCACTTTAATTTCTGCCATATAATATTTTTCCATGTTTGCATGTTTTACCGTTAATTTTCTCCTCCGAAGGAATTAGGTTTAGCCGTTTGACCGCCGAGTCAATAACCCTAATTTTTGACCATTTCAAACCCTAATAGTTTAAGCGTCCCACCGTGGATAAAAATGCCCTTTACCATAGCTTTTAGGTCAAAGAGCCGCCGTGCTCTATTTTAGGGTTTCCTGTCGTGGAATCCTTAATTTAACCCTAATTTTAATTCAACTTTTCAACGTAGAAATAGGAGTTTCAACACTCCATGTAAGCGTTTCCTTAAGATACATTTACTCCCTGTGAAACCTTGACCACAGTCAAGATGTTTCTAACCTCCCTTTCGAGGGGAACTACGATTACTCTGATTCCATTCCCTATCCAGGATACGTAGGCACAAGATGCGAATCTTGCCGAGTAAACTTAGGACTGACCCTTAGGTCTCTTTAAGTCACCCTATCCTTAGCTCAATATATACATCAAACAAATAACAAAATAAAAAAGCATACAATAAACAAAAGGTTCCTGTAGAGTACTACAGAAGTTTAGGGTGCTAGTACCTTCCCTAAACTTAACCAACCCCTTACCTAGGTCTCTCCCCGCATTGTGTTTACGATACAAAAATAGGTTTTCCCTCTTTTGACCTTTTCCTTCGGATAAATCAAAGAGCGGTTGTGAATTAAGAATTGTGATTCAAACTAATTAATAGTTTGATATCCTATTTCCACCGCAACACTACTTTTCACATAAACTTGCTCAAACAGTCATATATACAACACATGCCACTTTCAAAAATTAATAATAATAATAATAATAATAATAGCAATATAACATATCTAGAAATTCAACTTTTATTGCAGCAGAAACATCAACAACTTGACAGTATAATTAATCAAAACATGATCTTAATTTTAAGTAATCATAAGAAATATCGACATAGGAGATATCCATAGATTCTTCAATAAACATAAACAACAATAAGCGTTCTCCCTCCCTGATGTTAGATATAAGAGCAAACGCCAACTCTATAAATAAAAAGGAAAAGCACTCTCTTCCACTAACTTCCACGCCTCTACTGCGGATTATCTACACGATGCCCATGTAAAGGTAACATTCAAATAGAAGGGGTGAGATATCACAATTATGTAAAGAAATTCATGATAATAAGTAAGCATTTGATTATTACATGCATAATCACCCATTCCACCAATCACACTTCAACACAATCCAAACACAACAATAAAACAGATATGCAATGCAATGAAACTCAACAACTTGACTCAATGCATGTGGTACCAAGATGTGAACTCTGTGGTTCACCGCTCTGATCCCCACCTTAGGATCTGAGCCCTCCAAAAATAGTTATCACCATCATAGGTAACACTTCACCGATTCCCATATGGAACCGGCTACTCGCACCTAATCCCCACCGTAGGATTGAGGCTCACCACCAATGAACCACTGTCCAACACCATGAATGCATGCAACATACAACACATGCAACCACAACACCATGCACGATGACCTTCACCTTAGTCAATGTACAATGCCAATACTGGCCACCATGCACCACACACCTGCTATAATAATTTAGCAACAACAACATAGAAATATAACAAGCAATCAACAATGCGTGTACGGATATATAGCACCACAACATAAATACTACATAGCATTTAACACCACCACACAACCATTTGCTTATTTCCAAGAACTACAATTATTTTTAAAACAAATTTCATCACGTCAACTTCCTAATGCTTCGAACGACACCCAAATTGGATACTCGAAACTCAAGATACGATTTTTTGAAGTTTTACAAAAAATGTTCCCACTATAACCGGTTACACCAAATGCAGTAACCGGTTACACCCCTGTAACCACGCCCCTACTATGCCAGTTTCACTCAGTGTAACCGGTTACACTAATTCAGGTAACCGAT